TGCTGGCGCTGCTGGAGGTGCTGCTGGTACTGGTGCTGCTGGAGCTGTTGGAGGTGCTGCTGCTGCTGGTGGTGCTGCTGGCACTGCTGGAGGTGCTGCTGGTACTGGAGCTGCTGGGGACCCTGCTGCTGCTGGCGGTGCTGCTGGAGCTGCTGGGACTGGCCCTGCTGAGGGGGTTGGAGCTGGAGGTGCTGAGCGGCCACGGCCGTACTACGTTCCGCTCCTTCAGCAGGTTCTTGGCCTTCCGCCCTCTCCTGGTCCTACTCCTCCCCTACTGAGTCCACCGCTTGTCCAGTCGCAGTCACAGTTACAGCCAGTCTCTCCACTTCCTGGTCCTTCTCCCTACACTGCGCCGACGGGAGGTCTTACGGAGCGTCGTGAGCCTGAGTCTCGTCCTCCGTCGCCTGAGACTCGTCCAGAGTCGTCTGAGTCGCGTCCAGAGTCGCCTGTCCGCGCTGGTCGTCGTGTTCCACGTCAGCGTCCTCCTCCTGTCCTTGGCACTCACTATATGACCCTGCGTCCCTCTGCTGCTCCACAGCGTGTCCCACTGCCGTCTCCACCAGCGTCCTCTCTTCCTGCTCTTGCTGACCCGGAGTCTGACTCTCTTCGTGCTGCCAGTCCTACTGTCACGCGTCTCCTTGCCACTGCTGTCACTGACCCTTCCTTTGAGTCCTCTGCTGCGTCTGCTCTAGTCGCTGAGCTTGTTGACTTTGCTGCTGCCTGTCGTCTAGACTACGCCGCTAGCCTTGTTGCTGAGTCTGAGTCTGAGTCTGTCTGTCCTCCGTCTGTCGGGGGTGAGTGTGCTCTTGGCACGGACGTCCTTGAGGACAGACAGGAGGAGTTTGAGTGCTTTGCCGCTGCTTTGCCTCATCTCGTGTCCATGCTAGTTGCCCCTGAGGGAGACCCGGATGCACCAGACATCCCGACCCCACGCTCCTACGCAGAGGCGATGGAGGGTCCCTACTCCTCTCAGTGGCAGACAGCCATGGACGCAGAGATGGCTTCCTGGAAGTCCACAGGCACCTACGTCGACGAGGTTCCCCCACCTGGGGCGAACATCGTCAGTGGCATGTGGATTTTCAGGGTGAAGCGGCCGCCGGGTTCTCCGCCTGTCTTCAAGGCTCGTTACGTTGCACGAGGCTTCAGTCAGCGAGAGGGAGTTGACTTCTTCCAGACCTTCTCCCCGACCCCGAAGATGACCACTCTTCGGGTTCTGCTGCACGTCGCTGCTCAGCGTGACTACGAGCTCCACTCTCTTGACTTCAGCACTGCGTTCCTACAGGGCTGCCTGCACGAGGAGATCTGGCTGCGCCGCCCACCTGGCTTCACTGGGTCGTTTCCTGCTGGTACCCAGTGGAGCCTCCGGCGGCCAGTCTACGGTCTCCGCCAGGCACCCCGTGAGTGGCACGACACCCTGAGGACTACTCTTGCTGCTCTTGGGTTTGCTCCTTCTACTCCTGACGCGTCGCTGTTTCTACGCACCGACACCACTCTGCCGCCGTTCTACGTTCTCGTGTACGTAGACGACTTGGTCTTTGCTACTGCTGACACTGAGGCACTCGCCCACGTGAAGTCGGAGCTGCAGAAGAGACACACGTGCACAGACCTGGGTGAGCTGACAAGCTATCTTGGCTTGCGGATCACCCGGGACAGAGCACAGCGCACCATCACCTTGACTCAGTCACACATGGTGCAGCAGGTCCTTCAGCGCTTCCGCTTCACGTACTCCTCGCCACAGTCCACTCCTCTGCCTACCGGTCACTCGCTCTCAGCTCTGCCTTCGGATGAGTCCGTAGAGCCGAGTGGCCCATATCCAGAGCTTGTGGGCTGCCTCATGTACCTGATGACCTGCACTCGACCTGACCTTGCATACCCTCTTAGCATCCTAGCACGCTATGTCGCTGCTGGCCGTCACCGGAAGGGCATAGGGCTTGTGCTTGGAGGACGGAGCGACGTTGTCCTCACTGGGCACTCAGACGCTTCTTGGGTTGACGACCAGGCTACGCAGCGGTCGTCACAGGGTTACACCTTCAGCCTTGGCTCTGGTTCAGTTTCTTGGCGTTCTACACGCTCGTCTTCAGTTCTCAGCTCCAGTTGTGAGGCTGAGATCTACGCCACAGCCATGGCTGCACAGGAGTTACGCTGGCTCACCTACCTGCTGACCGACCTGGGAGAGCGGCCTCGTTCTCCTCCAGTGCTGTACGTCGACAACAAGGCCGCCATTGCCTTGTGTCAGGAGCACAAACTGGAGCACAGAACGAAGCACATCGCTCTGCGCTACTTCCTTGCTCGAGAGTTGCAGCAGCGTGGTCAGCTTCATCTTGCTTACGTGGCCACTCGGGCCAACACTGCTGATGTGTTCACCAAGGCGCTTCAGCCTTGTGATCATCAGCGTTTCTGTACTGTTCTAGGCCTTGTGCCTACTGTGCCTCACTTGCTTACTTCTTGACTCTGCTTCTACTGTGATCTTTATATATATATCCCTGTATGCTTACACTTGCTAGGTTGTGATCACTGTACCTCTTGTTATATTATCAAACTGCATGTGAACTGGTCTTGTGACCACTTGCTTGTGCTCGGAATTTGTGTGGTTTCCTTGAGATCCACCCTGAGCTTGCTTTGCTTTGCTTTGACTGGTCTTGTGACCATCTGGTTGTCTCCCACTTAGCCTAGGGGGTACAACATTGCTAGGGTTTCCTACTTGTATCACCCTGCTGCCTAGTTTCACACATTCTCGTTCAGTTCTACATTCTAACACACCAGTCCATGGCGGGGCCCCGTAGCAGCGAAACAGCGTATCGTATCTTCATTGCGTCCGACTCGACGTATTCGCGTTGAAAAAGACGTTCATCGTAAGGACCCACGATTGAACCGTCGGACCTCCACGTTGGCTTGGATCGAAGCATGGCGGGCGCTGCGGTTTGAGCGGCATTGGTGCAACGATGTCATTGTTGCCGATTGTCGCTGCGAATTCGACGTGACGACGGGCTTCGCGAAGCCCATTCGTCCTTGGTGCGGCCCTGTTCCTCTCCATGCCGGGCATTGATTGGGCGGCGCCATCACTGGCTGCGCCTGAGCGCAGTCCCACGCTGTCTTGATGTGACGGTGTGCCGGATGAGATGACAATCGGCTCATCCGATTGCGCAGGTGCATTTGCAGGTGCTTGTGTTGGTGATGGTGCATTCACTGTTGACTGCTGGTGGGCGGAGTCACGTTCCGCCTTGAGAGTTGCGATTTCGAGCGCCGAATCTTCGAGTTGGCACACGAGATGGTCGAGCTGCTCCTGCGTCAATGTCGCAAGGTTGAGTTCGACCATGGGGGGGGTGTCGGGCAACCTCAGCGAGAGCCTCGGTCGGGGCCGTGCGTGCTTTGGAGAGAGCACTTCAAGCGGCGGTGCCTGGACGCTGAGAGACATCTACCCCCGCCAAAAATTGAGATAGTGGGGAAGTGAAGGTGTGGGTGCGGTCGGAGAAGAGATCGTATGCTCTGAATACCAAGTGTTACGAGTGCAATTGAGCGAGCGAGCGAGATTTGCAGTATCGAAGCAAACAATCCATTGAGCGAAGGCATGAGCGAAGAATATATAGCGAGGCTAGCGTAGTAACGGTAACGCGAGAAATTGGGGTGCGCTACGGGCCTAGCGCCGAGGTTGGGAAATGTCCAGGCGGAGGTCCGTAGCGCGGGTTACCAACCGCACCGTAAGGTTGGGTCGCATCGTGAACAGTGACGGGAGTCGTGGTCGAGGCGAGTGTCGCTAGCGGGTAATGCTTTATTGTTGGGTGCCGGTGGCGGGAATGGTCATGTACGCGGTAAGCAGGGGCGCGTAGTAAGGGAAATGTTTTTTCCTTACAATACATCACAACGTACTCAATATTTTGTTTGATGTTTTTTTTTTTTTTTTTTTTTTTTTTTTTTTGAATGACGATACGATTTTTAGGGGAAACTTTTTTGAATCATTTGATAGCTAAGGAAGGCCATTCGTATGATGTTTCAAGTTAGTGCTTTATTTCATTGGGTTCGTCAGGCTGGAAATCAATTTTAGTCTGATTATCTACTTGTGCTGGTGAGTGTTTGGCCACTAAAGAAACAACTATGAATCTAATAAAGTCTTCGCGGGACCCCTATTAACGATATCCCCTCTTTCTGTCCCCTTCCCACCCATGTTTTTGCGTTTCTCAGATCGACGAATGTTTGTTGCCTATTGAACCAATCGATAAAAATATAAATGAAAGTACTGTACAAATATTCTTCCAGTTTGGCAAGATTCCTTTTTGAAATAACCCTTCCATGTCGAAGCGCGCATCCAATGTGGTTCTGCCGTTACATCGAATAATGTGGTTAAGCGACAACTTGGTGGTGAGATTACTGGCGTCGTAGCCAATCCGTAAGCCCCTTTGTTGCCAAATACGGTAACCAGTGAAAGATTCCTCGTTTCGCCGTTGTAAAGTGTCACCCGAGTCCCGACCCGAATGGGACTCCATAGCTTTCCTCCCCCCAAGCCACGGCCAGTAACCCCGAAGCGCGCAATTGCAAATGTGAAGCATAAATTGGACCCCATTTGTTCCTCATCACCAACCAATTCCTTCTCTCACTACTCAAACCCTGAATCCTCGGAAAACTCATCATGGCTCACTCCATTCACACCCTCACGGTGGTTCTCCTTATCGCTTCTTTCTCGTCGCATGCTCTCGCGGGCTTTATGGGCGGAGCGTCAACCTTCGCACCCGTAAGTTTCCTCACACAAGAGCTTGATTTTTTTGCTGCCATTGCCCATCACCAGGTTGCATTTCCAGCACGCGAATCCACCGTCATTTAAATGAATAATGAAAAAACGCCTCCATCGTGTTTTATTTCAGGCTGCGGGGGCGATCATCAAGTCATGGAACGCGGCGAAGCCGGGAATTTCCCAGGACGTCGTTGCATACGACTCTGTGGGATCAGGCTCCGGAATCACCGGCTTCAACGGTGGCACTTACCTCATTGCCGTCTCCGATGATCCCATGACCTCCGCGCAAGAGGGCGGCGTCGTCGCCAGCGGCAAGATCACCGTGCCGCTCTGCGTCTCCACCTTCAGCTTCTTCGTGAACGCCAAGCCTGGCGTCGTGCTGACCGCCACCCAGACGTTCCAGATCTACAGCGGCGCCATCACCGCGTGGTCGGGCGTTCCCGGCGCGGCCGGCAAGATCGCGGGCGCCATCACCGCCGTGGGGCGCAGCGACAAGTCCGGAAGTACCGCCATTGTGAAGACCATGTGGTCTAAGGCCGTGTCGGGTTACTCTGGCGGCACGGACGGCACGGCCATGACTTACGCTGGGGTTACCAAGGTGGAGGGCACGAGCGCCGTGTGCGCCGCCGTGCTCAAGACCAAGGGCGCCATCGGTTACGCATTCACCGGCGGATGCAGCGTCGTGCCTTACAACGCCAGGAAGCCCAACAACCCGAAGCGCGTGATCGCCGCGCTCAAGAACGCCAATGGCGTCGCCGTCGGGCCGCCCTCGTGGACCCCCGGGACGGCGCTTGTCGGCGCGCCTCCCGCAGCCGACGGGTCCTGGAGCAGCGTGGACTTCATCTGGAAGGCCGGAGCCAAGACCCCTGCGATGGTTTCCATGGAGTTTGGGTTCATCCGCAAGTCGCTGACGGGCGTGACTGGCGGGAAGATCGCCAAGGCGTTCATGCAGTTCATGATTGGGAAGCTGGCAAAGGGTGGGTATGGGTTCAACGCGGTGCCTGCTGGTTGGAGGAACCCGTCCATTGCCATGGTTAATGCTATTGCTGCGTAGAATTTTAGTTTTTTCTAGTGAGCAACACAGGAAGGTGTTTGGAGATTCAGGTGCATGAGGAATCTGTGTCGCATGCTTATTAATGATATAGAATATATAACAAGCAAATTGCACTCAGATTCAAAGAGGAACATACAATAGCGATGGGAATGGCAGAGAGTTTTTACACCGTTCCCCTTTCCCGTACCTCAACCTCAGTCATCCCCTCCCTTCTGCTCCTTCTTTCCCTTCCTCCTCTAAGCCAGCCCCTTTCCACATAGTATCCCCGCCACTTCCTTTGGCCTGCTGCTCTGCACTAGGGCAGTGCGTGATGTGCTAGCACAGCAAGTGCATGACTCCTGGGAGGCTGGGATATAGAGAGGGGGGGAAGCGATGTATGGAGAGCACGATATTGGGTGGGTCAAAGATTAAGAGCGGGGAAGTTTGGATGCAGTGAGTTGGGAGGGAGGGAAATATGGAGCCAGGTTCTGAACATAGGGATGGTGGGAGAGAGGGAGGGTGGGAAAAAAGGGAGGGTGGGATGAAGGGAGGGTGGAAGATAAGGAGGGTGAGAGAAAGGTAGAGGGAAGGGAGAAGTTAGGCAGAGGGAAGGGATGACAGAAAGTGTGAGGAAAATGAGGAGGGAGGGAGGATGGTAAGTGGGGGGTGGGTGGGGGGGTAGTGGGAAATGAGGTGAGGCCAGTAACTGGGGACAGTATGTGAGGAGAGTGGGCGGTGCGTGGGGAGAGGAGGGCGACTGGCAGGGGAAGCGAGGGCGACTGGCAGGGGAAGGATCCGTACTTGCTATCGTCCTTGCCCTCCCACCCGCCTCCCTCCTTGTCTCCATTTCTCTTTCCCTCCCTATGCTTTCCCCTCCTTCCCTATCTTTGTCCCCCCGCACTTCTGCCCAGCCTCCTCCACCCCCCGTTCCATTCCTCTTTCCCTCCTGCAGCTCTCCTTCGGGAGGGTAAAACGGGGGATGGAGGGAGGTGAGTGGGGTGAATGAGACGGGTTAGCTAAGAGGTGCAGGTAGGTGGGGGGACTGTGGGGGGGAAATCAGGAGATGAAGAGAGGTAAGTGGGGAGAGGCAGCGGGGTAAGTCGGGGCCTCGAGGAAGGAAAGTAGGGGAATGAGGTGGAAAATTCGGGGTCTGGAGGAACGTAAGTTGCGGGGATGAGGTGGAAACATCGGGGGGTGAAGGAAGGTACGTAGGGGGGATGAGGTGGAAACATGGGGGAATGAAAGAAGGTAAGTGGGGGGGTTGGGGCGAAAAAATGGGGGGATGAAGGAAGGTAAGTAGCAGGGATTAGGTGGAAAACTCGGGGGACGGAGGAAGGAGAAATGGGGGAAGGAGATGGGCAGAAAGTAAAGGAAGGAGAGATGATTAGAGGGAAGGAATAGGAAGGTAGATAGGGGAGGAAGGGGAGAGGGTGCGCGAAGAAAGGAGAGAGGGATTGACGAGAGTGAGGGAGAGAGGAAGAGAGGGAGAGAGGGAGAGAAGGTGAATCTGCATGTTAGCAAACATTGACTTCCTTTGACCGATTTCCCTGTACCAATCTCAGCATTGAAAGCAAGGACTGTTTGAAGGAAAGAAAGAGGGAGATAGGTAGAATGGGAGACTGGATCCGAAGGAGGGAGGGCGGTAGGTGGGGGGAAGTAGGGCGGGTGTGTGAGCGAGTTGATGGCCAAGACACGTGGGGTACAGTGTATGGAGGTATGTGGCGATGCGAGGAGAAGCGTGGGCGACGGGGAAGGCATTGGGAGGGGAAGCGAGGGCGACGGGGAAAGAAATCGAAGCGACTGGGAACGAAAGCAGGCAAGGCGATGGGACGGGAAGCGAGAGCGACGGACAGGGGAAAGTAGGGCGACAGGAAGTGGACAAAAGGAAGACGGGCAGGGGAAGCAAGGAAGACGGGCAGGGGAAGCAAGGAAGACGGGCAGGGGAAACAAGGAAGACGGGCAGGGGAAACAAGGAAGACGGGCAGGGGAAGCGAGGAGGACGGGGAAGGCGATGGAATTAGAAGCGAGGGGCGACGGGGAGGCGAAGCGAGGGCGACGCAGGGGGCGCGTGTGCGACGCAGATGACGACGAGAGGGGAAGCGAAGGCCGAGGGTAGGGGAAAGCAGGGCGACCGGCAAGGGAAATTAGGGCGACTGGCAGGAAGAAGGTACTGGTGGAGGAGGTGTTATCTGAGGGGAAGGAGGGAGGTAAGCGAGGAGGAGGGAGACGGCAAAGATCACTGAGGGGAGGGATCGAACAACGGGAGAGAGGGAGAGACGAGAGAGTGGTAGTGATGAAAGGATGCGACGACGGAAGGGATGCGGCGACTGATAGGATGCGGCGACGGAAGGGATGCGGCGACGGAAGGGATGCGGTGACGGAAGGGATGCGGCGACGGAAGGGATGCGGCGACGGAAGGGATGCGGCGACGGAAGGGATGCGGCGACGGAAGGGATGCGGCGACGTAAGGGATGCGGCGACGGAAGGGATCGAACGACGGGGAGATGAGAGGGATGTGGCGAGGCGACGAGAGGGATCTGGCGAGGCGACGAGAGGGATGTGACGAGGCGACGAGAGGGATGTGGCGAGGCGACGAGAGGGATGTGGCCAGGCGACGAGAGGGATGTGACTCTGGTCAGACGCGAGCAACGGGAGGCATCAAGAGGCGAGAGGGATCCAGCGACGGAAAATCATGAGAAACGGGCGGGATCGCGGCCCCTGAGAATAGGAGCGCGGTAGAGACTAATGCGACAAGGGTGATTGCGCGACGGTGGATGAGGGATGGGAGAGGGCGCGAGGTGGGATCGAGAAGGGATAGTCGTTTTGGACTGACCTTGTGGCTCTTTTGTTTGTGCTCAGAGTGCGTGGTGACATTGTGATCCACCCTGAGCTTTGTTGCTTTGTGACGGGTCTTGTGACCGTAGGTTGTTGGTTTTGCTTGACACCCCTCACTTAGGCTATGGGGGTGTGTCAGATGTTATAGTCTTATTGATGTGTGTCATATGGGGTACAACAGTTAGGGTTAGGTTTATGTACCCCAACCAACCTTAGTGAAATCATCATTCCGTTCTTGACATCAATCAACATCCCCACCTTTCACCCCGGACCAACTACCAAACCACAGCTGCTTGGACGGACGACTCCGTAGCTAGTACCGTATTCTCCCGGATAAAACACCCCCCCGTAATTGTACACCCCCGGGTAGCTTATACGAGGTGGGTGTTATATCCGACCCCGTTAGTACTATACCCCCCCTTTTGGGGTGATTTTCTATAACACCCCCCTTTTCTTATAGATTCCTATTATAGCTATTATTGAGTCCGATTCCTTACGGGGGGATATCGCGTGAATTGCTCCCTAGATGAAATTTCGCGTGTACTTTCACTTACCGTAGAATCTGCCAAGATTTCCCCCCTCCCACAATCTCGCTGTCGCCACGCTGGCGAATCTTCCGCTGCAAGTGGCCCAAACCAGTCAAGAACTGACTGGTACAGTAACAACGCACCACCGTGCGCAATTTCGGCCTCGGCGGTTGCATGAACCCTCGCCACGCAATTGGCTTTGTTTTCACCCTATCAAGTGTTGGAAACAATTAATTCTAAGCGCCTCTGTCGTGTCGAAACACCAAGTCAGAAGCGAAGCGAAGCATATCGAAGCACTGGCGAGTCAACCCTCGGAAGTTGAGCAGTTGCTGGAGGTTACGCGAAAGTCAAAGGTCAGCGACCTTTGACCTGACAAATACAACGCGACAGCAAGGACACACAACTGACTCGTTACAGAGCAGTTGCCCGAGTCGTCACTGTATCGAACCACAACAGCAACAGTAAAACAGTTGAAATCGTATCTCTTCGTATTCCCTGTACTCTTATATAATCTTGTATCTCTTTGCTTTAATCAATCTACTTTGCCCTCACGTACTAGCGCAAGGTGCTTCACAGACTTATCGTTAAACGCTTCCGCTATTACATCAAATCCTACTCAGAGTTTAGTCCTGCAAAGATCCTAAGGGCTTTTCTCAGCCCAACATGGTATGAGAGCAAACAGGGCAAACTCAACTACCATCAAGTTATCTACAATGTCAGAAGGCATGGCAACACAAAAGGAAAGGAGCTCCTCTAACGGCTCCCTGGGTACTACTCCTACTCCACCTCCTGCCTCTGGCCTACAGACAGAGGAGGGTACGGCAACAAGACCAAGAGCAACGTCTACTGAGACTCCTGCGAATCAACCTGCAGGCTTCGACCCAAGCATGATGGAGAAGTTCTTCTCCTTCATGTCCTTCTACGAGCAACATCAACAAACGGCACCTGCGCAGTCAAACATTAGCAACAACAACAACGACGTGACTCCAATGAGCCTTGATGGTTCATCCTACGCACGTGGAAATCAACAGCAGCAACCTACCTTTGCTCCGTACGAGCCCCAGCGCGGCTCCGTCAGCTTTATGCCACAAACGCAGCCTGCACCTGGACAAGAGAAGACACTGGACGCGCTACAAGTTCAGTCGCAGTTCGCGCACGTTCTGAAGCTGCAGACGTCAAGACCTTTCGACGGAAAGGACTTCTTTACCTGGTCATTCGAGTTCGAGTTGATGATGGAAGGCGCGCAAATCCTCGGCTTCTTCGACGGATCCCTGCCATACCCAACAAACGGCACACAGTACGAGAAACAGCAGTACACCTATCAATCAATGATGGCGTACACAATCCTACTGAGGAATATCACCCCGACTCAGCAACAGAATATACGGTCTTATCGGGGATACGGCAACTCCGCCGAGCTCGCATACAGCCACTTGAAAAACCTGTATCAAGCAACAGACAGCGTAAATTAGAGTCGACTAATGGCGCAACTGACAACAGTCGAAATGAAACCAGGGGAAAAGGGGATGGCGTATATCAGTCGCTGTCGCGAATTGCGCGACAAACTCCTTCGATGCGGAGGGTCGATATCTGAAGACGCCTTCGTGACAGTTATCATCGGCGGCCTCGGTCCTCAATGGCGTGCCATAAAAGCCATTCTCCGAGCTCACGGAAGAATCTCCGAAGCAGCACTCTGCGCCGAAATTCACGCCGAGCAACAAGACATGGACCTGCAAGAGGAACGGCACAAGAAGAAAGCATCAGTACCCGAATTCGCGTTTCACACTCAGCGACGCTACAACAATAACAACAACAGCCGACAACGACCAAAGCTCGTACCTCCGAGGACACCCGCGCACACACTGCCCGAATCAACAACAGTTAACACCGCCACAGCAACAGCTTCGACCATCAAGCAGCCAAGTCGCATCGACGCAGGCGAACCCCACGAGTCAGTCGCAGCCTTCAAAAACACAATCTGCACAAGGAGCAAGAAACATTGTCAGCTGCATGGCAAAACTGAACGACTCCTGCATCACCGAGTCACCGCCTCACTACTCACCGGAAGAACAACTCGACAATAGTACACCCCGCCGCGAGTCACTCCAACCGAATCCAACGTATGCAGCCATCGCCCAAAGCGAGCCGTCCGGAAAGGACACTTGGTTCTTGGATAGCTGCTGTGGGCAGCATATGTGCTCCTCCGGTCACTTCGTTCAACGGGAATATCAACTTCAACGCGAAGTCGTCATCACCGTCGCCAACAACCAAAACCTGCGCACACGACGACAAGGAGTGGTTCAACTTCAGTCACGAGAAACAAATGTCATACTGCAGATGTCGAAGGTCTTAATAGCAGAAGGTCTCGGCTACAACTTACTCAGCGTTAGTCAACTGATGGCGAAAGGTATCCACCTCGAAGCAGACAGCACCACCCAGGAGTTCAAGCTGTACCACGGGAAGGGCGGTCTCTACAACGGGAAGGCAGTCCTGAAAAATAATTTCTTCGTCCTCGACTTCGTTCCAGATCTCGGCACCGCAGACAGCGACGGGATCGTCGCCTTCACCTCCTGGACACATCCACCGGATCTCGACCCCGACTTCAGTCCAGAAGGCTTCTGGTATTCACATACCATTCCTGAAGCAGAAAGAACAAGAGCGTTAGCGACAATTCAACATTCGGCAGCAGCAGAGACAACACCGGCAGCAGCAGAGACAACATCGGCAGCAGCAGAGACAACATCGGCAGCAGCAGAGACAACATCGGCAGCAGCAGAGACAACATCGGCAGCAGCAGAGACAACAACAGCAGTGGCAACAACGACACCAATCGCTGGTCCTTCAACGGCACCAATCTTCACCGACGATACATCACCAACACCCGCGCAGCAGCTAACACCGACTCAACGAGAAGTCCACCGAAGCGTCAACTTCACCGCCGGTTTTTATTCCAACTCCGATTTGTACAGACGCTCACCCGGACATCGCGCCGACGAAGATCTCTGGCATAAAAGAATGGGACATCCGAGCAACACGACGTTAAACAACACGATAAGAGCAGGCGTTTTTGACAAAGATTTACTACTTCTACCCGACGGCAGAGAACTTCGACGAATGAGAGGAACCTGCTTCACCTGTCCAGAAGCCGACTTACCGCATCAGCCCTTCGTCTCTCACCACAACCCAAGTGCACCAGCTTACGCACCACTTGAAAAGGTGTACAGCGACATCCTGTACAATCGCGAACCTGGACAAGAGGCATACAACTACACCATCACGTTCATCGACGCCGCCACTCGTTATGTCTGGCATCTCAACCTTCCAAGCCGCGATATGGCCTTAGAAGCCTTCGTAGCCTGGCTCCCAGTAGCAGAACGGGAATCGGGAGTTAAGCTGAAGAGTTTCCAGTCTGACGGAGGAGGAGAATACACCTCACAGAGGTTCAAGCAGTACTTGGCAGAGAGAGGAATCAAGCGGCTCATTTCCCTTCCCTACGCCCATCAACAGCAGGGTGTGGCAGAAAGAATGAACAGGACCCTTCAGAACACCATGCGCAAGCTGCTACGTGGCATGCGGCTACCCAACCACCAGTGGCCCGAGGCAATGGACCACGCCGTGATGCTGCACAACTTGCTTTCGTCATCATCGCTTCCGAACAACGCATCACCGCACCTGCTGTGGACAGGAAAACTGGGCAGCACAAAAATGTTGCGGAATTTCGGCTGCATGGTACAGTACCGACCCCCAGCTGCACGCGCTGGCCGATTCTCACAACGCGCACAGTGGGGGCTACACCTGGGCATCGAAAAGAATTACAACGCGTGGAAGTTTTTTTACGTCCACTCAAAGGAAACAGTAGCAGCACGTGATGTCATTTTCTACGAGCGACTCATCCTCTCAACGTACCTGTACAACTTGGAGACCTCACGAGATGTCACAGGTGGATTTCGTGGGGACCGAGCCTTCGCTTCGGCAGAAGATGAAGCTGACCTGGACGAGCAAAACGTGGAAGGAGCCTCGGAGGAAGCCGGACCTCTCCCCTACTGCTCGGTTGATGTCCCGATGGACGACGAAAATCCACGCGACAGCATCAACGCCGAAGTGTACTATCACTACGCCGATACCGGTTACGTTACACCTGCACAAGTCAACACCGACGAAGCCGAACGCGTAGGACCAAATTTCAACCCAACACCAGAAGCGGGAGATGAAGCAGTTTATCCCGAGGACACAACACTCCCCCGCTACACACAGAGTGGACTCCAAATACTTGGCCTCGTCACCGCGGTTCACGGCACAACCATTCCTAAGGAGCCTGCTACACTTCAGCAGGCTCTGGGGGGGGAGCATAAGGAAAAATGGCGCGAAGCCATGGACAAGGAGCTGAAAGCACTGGAGGAACGCAACACCTGGAAAGTTGTTCCCATCGGAGTGGCACGAAACAAGACTATACTCACCGGGAAGTGGGTCTTCCGTGTGAAGACAAAGGCGGACGGCACCATCGACAAGTTCAAAGCACGCTGGGTCGTACGCGGCTTCGACCAAGAACATGGGCGCGACTTCACTGAGACGTTTGCTCCAGTCAGCCGACACACGTCATTACAAATTCTTCTCGCGATCGCCGCCATGAAGAAGAAGAAGCTGCGGCAAATTGACGTCGCCAACACATTTCTCTACGCACCTGTCGACGCAGAAATCTTCGTCGAGCTACCGCACGGCTCCAACGGAGAGCCTAACCAAGTCTGTCAGCTATTGAAGTCGCTCTATGGTATCAAACAAGCCCTAAGGCTATGGCAGCAGTACCTACACGCAAGACTCACTCGCATCGGATTCCGTCAGCTACCTCACGACCAAGGCATGTACCGGCTCACAAAGGGAACCGACTACATCCTGCTAATCGTCTACGTAGACGATTTGCTCTACATCGGCTCAATCGACAGCGTCACTACCTGGTTCGAAGGGGAGCTACAAAAGGATCTCACACTCACGGTCTCATCCACTGTCACACAGTACCTCGGCCTCAACATCCAGGAAGAAGAAAATGCGATCTACCCCAGCGCCGCAAAATACGCCGATACCATCGCCAAGCGCTTCGCACTCACGCCGATTGTCATCTCCACGCCATACCGCTACACGGCAGGAAACCACAAGGAAGGCTCCGCTCTACTCAAGCCCG